CACCATGTGCTACTCAGTAAATTCGTCTGCTATAATTGTATGAGAGCTGTATTTATCCTATTTCGTTTAAGATGATGGAAAACTGGTTGCTTAATTGTTCCACAATACTATGAGTAGGCATCGAATCTCCATTGAATTTCTCATAGTCTTGTCTCCCAAAAGATATTCTTATTCAGAGTAGACGACATCTTTGACTTCGTCTAGGTCTCATCCTCACCACCAACTGGAATCGAGCCTGGCTACTACAGCTCACTCTCTTTTCGACATGTTTTCATTACGCTACACTTCTACGGGTCACAAGGCAGATATAAATTTTAACGCTAACCGGGACTTGCCTATATTATATCTTTGTAGTCAGACTTTAGATAAAGCAAACTTGTATTTACAATTATAATTGAACATATTACTTATAATCGTATTGAGTAGGTGGATCTTAAATAAGAGCTTTATTCAGCCTAAATGACATAAAGCGACCAACAACTGATAGTTGAACTTTCTCGCAATAATATAAGTAAGCATGGAAGACATTCTCATCTTAATGGCTTTTTGCTGCTTGTAGTAAAGTGGCATTGAACACTAAGCATATGCGATACCTCTATCCTGTTCTATCTTATTCTACATATTCGAGGTATCATATCCTGAGGAATAAATACACTTTTGGTGGAGAGGTTTGCCTAAAAGTTTGAATAATCTCTCATCCGTTAACTCCATTCTTAAAATTAGTAGGTCTCGAGACATTCTTGGACTCAAATGCAGTTTCTGACATACAGTTTATTACACGCTATTTCTGACAAATAAACGAGTTCATAAGAATACTTAGCCTGTTGTAAAAACGAAACCGAAATTTACTCTTAACTGCTTGCTACGGAAAGATTTTCAGTGGACTTTAGTAGGCATGCTGTAAAATGCTGTAGCCGATGCTAATAACTTGAAAGTAAAAATATTACGCCGTGATAGTAGATTGGTTTATGGTGAAAAAACTTGGTAGGTTTCTGCTATACTTTACTTCCCCTTACCTTTTATATGGGCCTCTTTTTTGTCCTCTTCAAGCCTCTTGCCCTCTGTTTAACCAACGGTGGCACCAAGATCGCTGCCTTCTCGTGTCACCATCCTCAGCTCTTGCAATCACAGCAGCAGTCCTTGATATGTCCGTCTGCCTTAGACTCCGAGTTTGCTCGTTCTGAGAAGTCCAGATGTCATAAAACGCCCGGCTCCCAGACACGACAAAGGAAAAGGGCTCGCCACCGAAAGAATGATGGTAAAACCCAAATCGTCGACGCTTACAATAATGGTGATGACGATGCTGAGAACTGGCGTGAACGATTCCATGAACCGGAACCTCTTTTGCCGCGCATCGACTTGATGCGCTCGAGAGCGTTCAAAAGTGATAGTGACTTTGAAGAAACGGAAGAAGAAGACAAAGAAGACGAAGAGGAAGATCAGCAGCAACGGCCAGAGAAGTTCGAAGAAGAAAAGACAAAAAGTAGTCTGAAAGAGCAGTCAAACGAGCAAGACATGAAAATGCAAGTTGGTATTGAAAGGGATGAGAATATCGAGAGAATCCTGGACAACAGACTCGATGGCAGCACCAGTAAAGCGGCCTTTAGGCAACCAGAAGATATTTTAACACATTGGACTGACGCCGATCTCAGATTCGGGCTCGAACCCGGTCGGCTTGGCTATGTCGCATACAGTTTGCCTGGGCCTCCGGACCAGAGTATGAATGAACTCATTCTTGGTGACAAATATGACGATGAAGATGAAGAAGAGGATGAACTTCCACTCTCGGTGGCCACCTCGACTGGCTTTCTGCCCACTTCGGAGGAGGCGATCGATATGCTGGACGAAGATGATCCTGATTTTGATCTCAATGATCGAGAAGGCCAGGACATAGGCTTTGAATACAGC